TTCTTTTTGGGCTTCTTCAAGCCAGCCATATGTGGCCTTAGTCATTTCTTTCTTTACTTGTAATCTCAGTTAATTAATATACGGGCTTTGCCCAAATTCTCCCCCCCAAAAAAAAAAAATAAAGTAAGTTCTATTTTGGAGTATAAGTTGGACATGCTGGTGGAAATTGTTGATTATCTAGCAGAAAAGGGGGTGAAGAGAGAATGGATGGGTTTTGTTTTAAGCAGTTGTCCAAGAGTGTTAACTTTAAGCATGTCTGAAATAGAGTTTCGTGTAAAGTTTTATATGCCATGGGCATGGATGAGAAGGACTTTGGTACAATGGTCTATGATTATCCCAAGGCGCTTGGTTTCTTCAGCTTGGAAGAGATGAATAGTAAGGTGTTTACCTTTTGTTGATTTTTAATTGACATTTATTGGAGATTTTAATTATTCTTTTTGTAAGAGCTTTTCTGTGTCTTCTTGGTTGGCTTTACTTTCTTTTAGTCTCCTGCAAGCCTTTGAGGAAGCATGAAGCGGTTTTGAAAATTTTTCTTTTACATTTGATGATGATTTTCCACTCTGTATTACATGCAGCTGCATCTTTGCTATTCTATAAGATGGACGTCAGCTAATTGAGGAATTACAGTTGTGCATCACACCCAAAAAAAAAAATGTAAAAGGTGTTCTAAGCTTTTTTTTCTGCGGGGTTGGGGGGGATGGGGAAGTGGTTCTAAACTAATGAGTGTTGGATTTTAATAACTATAATAACATTGTTTGCTGTCCGTTATTCTGTTCATGAAATATTATACTCCATAATATATCAAAAATTGGACTATGAGACCCTTCTATCATTTTTTGCAAAGCCTTATTTAAAATGTATAGTGGAGGCATTTCGAAAGCTATTTTAGAGGGAGAATGAAAGTAGCATTTTTTAAAGATAAGCTAATAGAAAATCGATCCATAATTTTGTGCAATAGTTTATACATGTACACTGAAGTCGAGAAAATTCACCAATTGGACATTAAAGTAAAATTAATATGAAAAGATTAAAAAGGAAAATGGATATATATTTGGTAACATGGTTAGAAATTGTGCAAAAAGATTTGTTCAAAATAGATTTAAAAACTTAATGCAACACTTGATAGGAATGAATGGACAATAAGAATTAATATTTGGGATAAGGCTGATGATGATGAGGCTTTTGAAAAATTTGCTTGCTATATTGCATTTCAATGAAGTACAGGGTTTTAGCTAGCATTTCTTGTGTCTTTTAGATTTCCTTGTAGATGACTTCACTGTTGAGCTTTTACATGAAATCCTCTGGAATGGCTGACAAGAGATTGCATGTTCCAGAGATCTGATATATGCAACCATAGGATGGTTGTCGGAGTACACGTTAAGTTATATGTTCTGATTTAATTTTCCTTGATAGCTTGTATTTTCAAATTTTCATCTGGGTTAGTGTTCCTGTATAATAGATTTAGTTAATATTCTACTAGTTGCATTGTTTCTAAAAACCTTACTTTGCCATAGTAGGTCAATTATCTCAAGGAGTTCGGCTTGAGTACTGAAGAAGTTGGACAGCTGTTAGCTTACAAACCACAGCTCGTGGGTTGTAGCATTGAAGAACGGTGGAAACCTCTTGTGAAATACCTGTATTACCTTGGTGTGCACCGCGATGGTATGAAGAGAATACTTATGGAAAAGCCAGTAATCTTTTGTGTTGATTTGGAGAGAACTATTGCACCAAAGGTTTGTCTTTTTGTAGAAAACACTAAAGTGTTAGCTTTGTAAATTACTAAAACAATGAATGCCACGTGCATTTTCGTATGTGAAAAGACTTCCTGTCCTTCATCTTGCTACATTCTAGAGCATACGAGTACATAACACTTCTAGGTTTGATTGCATGGATTTGTATCCCAGGATATGTTTGGTTTAATGAAATTTAAAACTACAATAGTACTTGTATCCTAAATTCATTCTTACCCTTGACCATGTGATCAAAAATCTATGCTTCCAAATCGCCTGTGTTTAGGAAAGAGGGAGTTAGGAGACTCTAGATACACCGGAACTTACTTTAAGCTCACTTAATTGCAAATTAAACGCCCAATTTTTTATTTTACTCGTTCTTTTTTTACAATAATTTTTTTCCTGCATACAAGGAGACCTCTGAAGTTTTTATTTGTAAGTATTGAATAGTATGAGCATACAATGCTGTTCATTTTGTTTTCCAGGTTCGGTTTTTGCAGGATATAGGTGTTAGTGATAGGAAATACTTGAAATCAAGTATTTCCTATTCACTTTTACAGCAAATCTCCAAGAAAACTGCTGTCCGGAGTCGGAAAACAGTGAAAACAGGAAAACTGAAGGAAAAACTACGAGAAACTCGTAGGAAAACTTGTATTTTATTAGTAGATGCAAGGAAAATAGCAAAGATACAAGGATCCTCTATTCGAGAGGAGGATCGCACTCTCCCAATCTCTAGAATTCGATTTAGAGCCCTAGCCACCAAAGAAAATAGCAAACCTTACAAAATATGACATAACCCCCTCTCTCATTTTCTCCCTACTTAATGCATACAATTCAAAAAAAACCTAAAAGGACCTGATTGCCCTTGCTGCCACATCTTTTGGCTCCAAGATACAAATTCAAAAACAAGTGGACCCCACTCAAACAACTCCTCAAACTTCCGCCGGCTCCCCTCTTTTTTCCGCACTTTCCCGTCGCCTGTAGACGAACTGAGCCGCCCAATGGATTGGGCCGGCTGGACCGGTCCAAAGAGGACCGGTCTAAAAGTTAGACAAGAAGATATTGGAAGTGTTATTGCAAGATTCCCGCCATTTTTAATATATAGCCTTTACAAGAAAATTCGGCCAGTGGTTTGTACAAATATATTAGTAGCAATTTTGATATTTTTTATGCACCAAGCACGAAATATGTAGTGCTATTAACTTCTTTGTCTTGCTATGATTGGTTACATGAATTTTGTTACTATTAGATAGCTTGAACCGTTTATACTGAACGGATAATTTATAGTGTAAAGTTACAGTATAAGTATCTAAACCTGCTTTGCTATCATTTAGCATGGGCATGTAAAGTTACAGAAAGTATCTGAACCTGCTTTGCCATCTCATAGCATGAGCATTGCATTGATGACTAATTTTAGCATTCCCTAAGCTCTTTAACTCATGACCGAATTTCATATTACTATATTCTTCTATATGTCCACTGCTTTTAAGCTCGTTATCTCATTTTGAATTTTGTATTGTCTTCTCACTTTTCTTGTCTCATCATCATCAACAATAAACTTATAAACTTATCCTCCAAGTCTTGGTTGAGGCCCTCCTTGAGGCCCGCCTCGCCTCACGCTATATATATTAAAACTTACATAAATCTTGAAGTAAATGCCCGATATTGGACTCTATTGGAGAGGAGGAAGGGGAGAGAGCATTTCATCATAATGATGATTCAAATGAATAACCCCTTAGTGATGACAGTGCTGATGACATATGAGTTCTTATGTGATATGTCATTGATATTTATTTTTGGAAATTGGAATCATATGTTAATGAAAAAAATACTGGGATTTGGGAAAGATAGAATTTTGAGTTGAACTATATTTCATGTTGTCTTATTATTGGGATATTTTGATTTCACTTCATATCTTATGTTTTTTTATGTTTTATATTATTCACTCATTAGTATATAAAAAATTTATCATTTTATGTTTATGCAATCTTTTGATTTTGAGGCTTACGCCTCAAAACGCCTTGAGGCTTACGCCTCGCCTCACAAATGAAAAACGCCTCAATACTCGAATATGCAATTTTAATCATTGGTTAGGAGAGTAGATGTATTAGATCCGGCCTATGTTAAGAAAGGTAGAGGTAAATCTAAAAATATTTGGGTTGAAAGCATTAGAAATGACATTTTTTATTAAATTTAAATGAGAATTTGACTCGTAATAGGACACAATGGTGAGAAAGGATTCATATAACTGACCCCACTTAGTGGGATAATGTTAGGCCAGCCCAGGAGGGGCAGACTGGACCGGTCCAACCCGGACCGGTCCTCGTCTACGCAAGGCGGAACCGAACGGGAGCGGAACCAGCGGGGGGACCAAACGAGCATTAAATCCGGTTTTGGGAGGGAAATTTTGATTGGGAAGGGCTGTGTAGGCAATTTGTAAAACTCCTTTATGGTTAGTTAGGAGGATTGGGGGGGGGGGGGG